CACAGCATCAGCCGAAAGCCCAGGCCCTGAGATCCTAAACCCCCTAGGTTGCAAGAAGAGCCATGGGGGCCAGAGCGCGCCACAGCTCGTAAACAGCGGGTGCGCCCTCCCCTAGTGTGATATGGCCCTCTGCTCCCGCCATATCTACCCCTCCCATACACAGTCTTAATGGAATTGCCCTCTATTAGGCAGACCCTCCACCCCTCCCCAATTCCAGGACCTACGCCCACCTCGCCGAGGCCTTCAGCCGGCCTGGGAGAATTAATTTCAGTTTGCCCACCCCTCTCCCTGGAACCCCCTAAAACCCGGACTACAAATTTGATTAAAAACACCAGCAGCAAGTGGATGCATAGATGACCAATTTGCAGAATGCCATGATACAACTAACAGCTGGGGCAGAATTTGTCTCAACCTGTGGTAGCACAACAGATGGTGGCTCAGCCAATGCTCTTAAATTCCCATGGAAGCTTGCTGGAGAAGTTAGAGATGGTTCCTTCTGATCCTCTTTCTCCACCTATTATGCAGCTGTGGGCTATGCCCTCTCTTGTCTGACCGTTCCCTAGGCAGCATCTCATCACCCCATTTCTCAAGGTCTTTTTCACATACCGTCACAATAGGAAAGATCATTTCCATCTGATGAATTGTTCCCCACAGAGTACACAATACCCAAACCAGAAGGCAGGCAGATATGCATAAATAAAAGTATTAATGCAGTACAGTATAGTAGAATATCTTTTAAAGATAAGCAACTGTCAATTCTAGGATCCCAGCAAACTATGACCCTAACTTCCAAGTGGAATCAATTTAATTATTGTAAGTGAAGACTATGTTTTTGCTCCTAAAGTAGTACCTTGTGCACATTGCACAAAAAAATGTTAATTGCCCAGGAAAAATAATTACTGTTTCTCATTTGGAAGTAATGATAATGAAGTAGCTAGGGGTCTTTCTTCTAAGTTTTGAACACAAGTAGAATTTACCTGAGGTCTCTCTCATGCATCCAAACTAAGTGTCTAATTAGGGCCAGGGAGACGTCAAAGGAAGGGTGAAATGGAAATCAGCAGTCAATGTAGAATTCACTGCCAAGATTATTTTTTATTATTTTTATTATTTGAATCACCATATGCAGAAAAGAAGATATCACCATATGCAGAAAAGAAGATTAAAATGGCGTTATTCCAAAGAAAATAATTGCCCTTCAGTTTTTGTGCAATTGAGGATTTGATCTCTTAATAATAGTTCAGCTCCTTGAATCATGTCCTTTGTTCTCTTGAACTCCAACTTCCATCTGCTACCTTTCTTTTGGGACATTTTTTTAATAATAATAATAATAATAATAAAGTTGGAAGGGTCCTTGGAGGTCATCTAGTCCAACACCCTGCTCAGGCAGGAAACCCTATACCATTTCAGACAAATGGCTATCCAGTCTCTTCTTAAAAACATCCAGTGTTGGAGCATTACAGCTTCTGGAGGCAGGTTGTTCCATTCAATCACGTCCTATTCTTGGAGATTGCCTGGACAAGTCCCTGCAGTTTTCTTGGCAAGGTTTTTCAGAAGTGGTTTGCCATTACCTCCACCAAGGTCAGCCAGCAGGCTTTGTAATTAAGCCAGGACTAGAACTCACAGTCTCCCAGTTTCTAGCCTGGTGCCTTAACCACTACACCAAACTGGCTCTCTTTGGGATATTAGGGAATCCCATAACTCAAATGCAGGATACTAAATAACAGAATTTAAACATATCCTCCCAGTTTGCTCAGAGAATGCTTGGGGTTTGACAATGTATTCATTTCCATGTCCAGGTCAATTTTTGGATCTAACCTAAACTGCATGGAAATGTACCAGGCGCTCCATTTGTGGCACCTGGGGCTCTCTAATGCAAGCAGTTTGAGTAAGTGGATAACTCTGGCCTTGGAAACAAGAAAAGTATGTTGGGAGATAAGAGGAAAGTGAGTATGCTTGCAGACCTTGAACTGGGGTTCTTTCTAGCTCTAGGTTTATGAAATACTGTAAAAAAGAAAGAATACTCTGCTTGCTACAAATACACACTTGTCTACAGCTAGTTAATTCCAGCACACATTTCTGGACCCAGGGAAATAAAATGGCTCGGCATAAGTGAGAAGGTTTTGAGATGCAGCAGAGATCATGGACAACCATTACTGTCTAATAGAAGATCCTGTGTTCAAATTTCCCTGGAAGCTTAAGCTTCTGACCTACTATACTCTTTCCCATTTTCAGGCTGAATTCCTTCAAGACAGGAAAAAGCACTTCTGCACGCTTAAGGGCACTGCCCTCTTTATTATACAGCACTGCTCAATAGAATGAGATTTTTCATACTGGGTTTTGTGGAATCCTAGAGTTCCACAAGAACTTGAATGGTTCTGCGAGACTAACAAGAGGGGGATCCGCCCTTCCAAAGATTGAGGGAGAAAATAAACCTCCCTGTAAGGGACTGAGGGGAAAAAAATGGAAAGTACTCAGCCTCAACACCACTCTTCAGGATTGTCCATAAAACGTTTTCTTTGTACAGTGAAAAGGGAAAGGCTTGTGCCCTGAAATTTGAAAGCTCAACCTCTCTTGGTTTTTTTTTAGCAAACAAGTTCCATGTCCTGAAAAAGTTTGAAACTCCTTAACTAAAATATGGGAAGGAAGGCCAAGGTTGAAGAAAGTGGGCCTTGTAGATGGGGAGGTGAAAGTAACTGATCCATTACTAATTGGAGACAAAGACTACCTAACATTGTCCAGTGACTGGTGTCAAAGTGTTTGGAACAGCTGTCAGATTCCAAAGAATTGGAATCCTACAATCCTCAGCTCAGCTGCCATGCCTACACTCTGCCCCAACTGATTGCATGTAGGGGTGTGTTGGTTTTCAAAATGCCCTGTCTGAAATTCCCAGAAGTAAACATTCCATGATTTTACTGATGGTGGATAGTTGTAACTTCTGATTTTATGTGGAAACAGGAAGTGCACTCATGGACTCAAGACCAATTACTGCAGTAAGTAGCATCCAAATAAAGTGTATACAGTAATATCCAAATGAAATAAAATTTGATGCAATAAGAAAGCCTTTGCTAAAGTAGTGATGCTTAGTAGGGCTATGAAAAAAGATTTTAGAGATGGGCCTAGAGTTAGAAGCAACAAGTGGTGGGACAGAAGGGGAGAAGAAAGTGTGGCACTCACCTGCAGTAGTAGATAAGCAGGCAGAGCAAAATTAGGACCAGCAATGCCAGGGCACCCAAGATTGTAAGTAGAAAGATAGTATGGTAGGTGGCAATATCTTTAATTCCTGCTGAGGTTGCCAGGCCTGCAGAGAAGACAGTTTGGGACCCTTTTCCACTCCACTTGGAAACAATATTTGCTATCTATAATGAGTATTTATATAAACCTCTTTAAATAACATTTTCTGGATGGCTTACAATTGCATTCAGTTTTTTAAAAAATGCAGTTTTATTAAAATAGCATAAATAATTGTAAAGTAACAATTAAAAAGACCAAATCATCAAAAGATTTAGAGATCAAGATCTTCCCCTGGCAGAGGTGTCTGCAGAAAAGATGGGGGGGGGGGGAGGAGATAATGAACACAGTGCTATGTGCTAAGCCCCACCCCTTTTGTACATGTGTCACGATATTACTTGCATCTATGAAACAGGCAGGGCATTTGTCCCAAAGTTAGAAGGAAAACATTCTACTCAAACTGAGAGTTCTTCTAGAAATTACAATCCAAAAAATGCTACACCCCAAAATAATTCCCACCAGTATCAAGCTCTTGCCAGCCTACTGCAATAGGAATCAAGATTCTCTCTGGGTTTAGCAAGATTTACTGAAGAAAATAGGGTCAAGTTACAGAAATCTCAGCAACCGGATAGCTTAACTTTCAGAAGTCAAGTTATCCCTCAACTTATTAAGGCAGAGACATTTTCAGTCTTTTACTAAGGACCTCTGTGGGAACTGTGGAGACAGCCATTCTCTTAATTCATAAGAGAGGAATGTCCAGTGGTCAGCATGTTAATCTCCTTTGTATCATGATACCAGGTATGCAAAAAACTTGTGTGCACTGAGATCAGTTTACTTCTCAGAGTCTTTGGCTATGGCAATTTTACCTGATGCAGGAGACAGCATAGCAGCTGCCCAATAGCCCAGCTGTGGAGAGACAAATGTCCAATAAAGCTGATTCCCTTCCTTGTGGATGAGTCCGGTTCCATTCTGGATCCACAGCCCTAAGAAGAGAGACTATGACTGAATCTGAAGTAATTAAAAAGGCCATCTGAATAAACCACTACCTGAAAGGAAGAGTACTACTCACCAGCACTATTCCCCCCAAACCCCTGTTAATCAAAATTATTCAAGAGCAGGCTGGCATAGTGTAATCAGCTACTGTATTGTGCCACACCTGATTTCTTATACAGAAGAAACACAAAGTTGGAACAGGGAACAGGCAACCTAAGAACATGGTGTGGCTCTCAAAATATGTCCCCTATTTAGAATTCTAGTACCACCACTTCATTTAATAACTTCAGCATTAACCTTAACCATAACCCCTAATTTGAAAGAGGCTAGGGGACCTTGATTGAGCCTGTGTACGCCAATACCAGACAGCATTGAACAGACAGCTTTTTGCTTATACTGCTAGCACAAAACCAGCTTAGATTCACAGGGCATTATATAAATAAATCATCTATATTCATACCAGGTCTAAATTGGAAGGGCTGAGGTACAATACAAACTAAACTCAAAGAAAAGAAGAATAGAAAAGAAAATAGATGGGGGGGGGGGGAAAGGTGCAAGAAAAAAGAGAAAGAAAGAAAGAGAAAAGAAAGAATATGATAAAGAAAAAGAAAAAAACATAAAAGTGACTTCCAACCTTCATTACAACACTTCCATCAATTTCATCCTCATCTTCTTCCTGGGAACAAAATGCTTCCACATCAGATTTGGTTCTTGTAGGCATGGTTAATGCTTGCCCTGCACAATTTCCTAATTGTTTTCCAGATACACCTAAGAATTCTATGACCCCGCAGAGAACTTGGTTCCATGGGTGAAGGAGAGGATGTTTGGCTCCTATTAATCACTCAATGTGCTTCCTGCCAAAGCCTCTTTTTAAACAAGCAATATTATTCCTTGCCTCATATGTTTGTAATTATTGGATACAATAATGATCAAACCATTAAAAATATGATTTACAAGCATTCCATCACTCACCACTCTTGAGGTCAAAGTGCCAGGCTGGCACACTGGTACTTGCTGCAGCGGTGTTGGATGACAGTGGGATGGAGAGGTGGACTGAACCAGAAAGCTGGACATCTGTGCCATTTGCAGTGAAGAGGCGAACACTGACTGCAACAATAGGCACCAGCTCCAACCATGTATTACTATCTGTACAAAGAGAGAGTTAAGAAATAATGGCTATCGCATCTCAAAGGTCCAGTAGCTACATATACATTGGATATGGATTTTCAAAACAGAAAATCCAAAAGATACTCCTATTCCTACCCGTGCACACAGTAGCATATAAGAATTGTAGTGGATTAAAAGGATTTTTTAATTATGACCAAGTATTGTCAAAACACAGCCCTATTCTCTACAATAAGCAGTGGGGAGGGTGTGGAATTCAGAGTGAGGTTTCTTTGTTCTCAGTGAGCTTTGCTTGGAGGCCCTGCAGGAATTGGGCACTTAAGAAAACAGGTTTCATGTGACTGGGCTAAAGTTTGAAGCCCAAAGCATAGAAAGCTGGCAAAGTTGGAAGGGAACATTCGCATGAGGGTTATTTAATTTATTGTAAGTGCTGGCTTGCTGGATATGTCTTTCTTTGCTCACTCAGAATGTTTGCACATTACTGAGTGCTGGGTGTGGAATGCAGATCTCAATCTTACGTAATTCATAGCAATTACATTATTCTTTCAAATCTTTACTTTGTTTCTCATGCCCTCCAAACCTGTTTGAGGCTGGTTATTGGCTACAGAGCCATTTATTTAATAACTTATTCCAGGGTAAAGGGGATTTGATGTTCTGTTACATATTCCAGGTGGCAGTGGGGTATCTTCCTATTCAAGAACAGATGGTGGCAGTGTAACTACCTGCTCAGCTGGAACGCTAGCTGAACATCCCAAAATTAGGTATAAAGGATGTGAAGGTGAAGATTCCAGGGAAGAGTTTGGCAGGCTGGTGTTAGTGTTAGTAATAGATACCTCCTCCTCCCCCCCCCCAATAACAATGATTGTGTATAATAATACATTAAATATCTATTTCATACCTCCAAATCTGGTGTCAGAGACAAGCTGTAATGGCTAGTTTTAATGCCCCAGCCTTCCCTATCCCACATTCCATGATGGCCCCTTACCGCTGCCATTACTTTCAGCCCCGATGAAGGACGGGAACCCTCTCACGTCTGGCCCACCACTGGCAGAAGTCAAGGTGGCTGAAACCTGGCTGTAGGTGGAACTGCGGAACAGATGAGCAGATTTGCGCTGGAACTGTGCCCATGGGTGGCTCTTAGCTCCTGCAATGATCAATACTTAAACTTTCTGACCTAATTGGGCTGTATTCATAAAAGACCACAGAATCCTTGGAGTTTGCTTTTAGTGCTGAGCCTCAGTGCATAGGTTTGCAATGCAATAACTCAAGAAAGTATCTATACATTTTTGGTCATTAACCATGAGATGCAGTCTTCAATAAATTCAAATTCTAGTATAAACCCCATGTGTTGAAGAAAGCATAAAGAAATAGGTACCTATATGGTGATCTTATAAAAATGTTAAGCCTTTTTGAACTAAATTTGTATTAAAATAGGAAAGATTACAACCCAGGTCATAACATTAGATCCTAGGTTCAATATTAGCAGCGTTGACATTGGCCTTACTAAGGTTTTTTTGTTTTTGTTTTGATAATCCAAATGACACCTTAAAACATATAGTTGATAGTTTTGTTATTGGCTGCAGCCAGGCAGGTAGTAGCAAGGTCCTGGAAAACTGGAAAGGCTTTGAATATTTCCATATGCTTTAATGGAAAAGATGACAAAAAAGGTGGTAATATCATGATAATACAGATGCTTTTTACTTTGCCTGGTTTAAATGTATCAGTTACATAAAACAAATGCATGATGATTGTCTACTACCCTTCTCCAGGTTCTTAGATAATTTAATTAAATAAGGCTATAGGTATTTTGTTTCTATATATGAGCCCATAATAACAAACTGCAGAGGTTCTCAAACTTTGTGATACTATGATTTCCTAAAATGACAAATAAATTTATGTGAATCCTCCCCATGAATAAAACTAATGATTGCATTGAAGTTAGGATCGGACAAGAAATAATTATACCATGTTTCAATGGTAATTTAAATTCAAATTTAAAACCATAATTTAATAGAAAGGATGACTTTATTTTTGCATAATTTCTGAAACTTGAATACTGCATACAAAAGTGTAGGCACCTTTGGTCAAGTTGTATGTTTCAATGAACCCTAAGTGATCAAAAGATGACACAACCTCTATATAGAACTAAGTTAAGCACATTTTTCTGCAAATTGGAACAGAAGCTTATGTGCAGTTGTTTATGGATTTGAAATAAGAAAACTTAATATAGCAGATGCAGAAGTCTGAGTACCCTTCCAATTGATCCAGTGTTATTTTCCCCCGTAAAGCTGTCAATAAAGTCCAAACAAGTTATTGTTTCATTAGATCTAAAATTAGCCAGGAGAAGACAATTTCACTTGAGCCTTCCAACATTTAAGGTCGTCAGTATTGTTCAGTCTACTTTTAACAACAACCATAGGGCCCTTCAAGTAACTCTCTGAGCACTGAAGACAAAGATAATTTACTCTTACAAAGTAGATGGCTATAAAAATAGTATCTAAACACTTCCTGCTAATACCGGTAATTTGAACTGCAAGAAATTGAAAATACTGAAGCTGCTGAAGTGAAGAAACCAGCATGGCTGCATAAAGAACTCTCTGATAAATTGAAAGATAAAAAGGACAAGTATAGAAAGTGGAAAGAGGGGCACATAACTAAGTCAGAATATCAGCAAAAAGCCCGAGCCTGCAAAGATGAAGTGAGGAAAACTAAGGCTCAAAATGAACTAAGGCTTGCGACCAAAGTCAAAAATAACAAAAAAAGCTTCTTTCAACATGTAAAAAACAAGAAAAAAGTGAAGGAAATGATTGGTCCATTAGTGGGTAACTCGTTTTTTGCATCTATCTTTACACAAAAGGAAAAAACAGACCAACCTACCAAAAATAGTGCCATAAAAAACAGAATAGAAACACAAGTTAAGATAGGCAAGAAAACAGTAAGTGAGCACCTGTCCAGCCTAGACGAGTTCAAATCACCAGGACCAGATGGATTACACCCCAAGGTTCTCAAGGCACTGGCAGATGTGATCTCAGAACCATTGAACTATATTTTTCAAAGATCCTAGAGCACTGGGGAATTACCGGAGGACTGGAAAAGAGCTGATGTAGTTCCCATCTTCAAAAAAGGAAAAAAAATGGACCCAGGAAATTACAGACCTATCAGCCTGACCTCAATACCTGGGAAGATTCTGGAAAAGATAATCAAACAACGAATCAGTGAATACCTAGAGGCAAACAAAGTAATTACTAAAAGCCAACATGGGTTTATCAAAAACAAATCATGCCAGACAAATCTTATTGCATTCTTTGACCAAGTGACAAAATTAGTGGATCAGAGGAATGCTGTGGATATAATTTACTTGGACTTCAGTAAGGCATTTGATAAAGATCACAACCTACTACTTGATAAGATAGAAAAATGTGGGTTAGACAGCATCACCACCAGATGGATCCGTAGCTGGCTGACCGGCCGTACTCAGCGTGTGGTCCTCAATGGAACTGCATCTACATGGAGGGAAGTGTGTAGTGGGGTGCCCCAGGGCTCTATTCTGGGCCCAGTGCTCTTCAACATCTTCATCAATGACTTGGACGAGGGGATAGATGGGGAACTCATCAAATTTGCAGATGACACCAAGCTGGCAGGAATAGCCAACATTCCAGAAGACAGGCTTAAGATACAGGAGGATCTGGACAGACTTGAACACTGGGCACTATCTAACAAAATGAAATTCAATGGTGAAAAAAGTAAGGTTCTTCATTTAGGCAAGAAAAACCAAATGTACAGGTATAGCATAGAGGGTACCTTGCTCAATAGTAGTAACTGTGAGAGGGACCTCAGAGGCCTAGTGGCCAATCACTTAAATATGAGCCAGCAGTGTGCTGCAGCTGCCAAAAAGGCCAACACAGTGCTAGGCTGCATTAACAGAGGGATAGAATCAAGATCACGTGAAGTATTTTTTTTTTTTTTTCCAACAAAATTTTTTATTGGTTTTATTTTACATGGTGGCAAGGCCATCAATTAATCAAAACAAAATCATATTTGTACAATTCAAATTATTTCAATATAATTAACTCAGTTATACATATAACTAATCTATTATTATTTTAATATATCCTACTTCCCCTTAGGTCAATACTAGTAACTCTATTTCT